TTGCGTCGACGTAGAAATATGGTATCATGTTTTTTTATTTTATTTTTTTGCAAATAATATAAATTCAACAGAGAAACATCAAGGTTCTCTATACGCCTCGGTGAAAATCCAAATTAATTCCCATAAAAAATTCTAACAGAATCCGTATACCAATGACTTTTAAAGTTCTTAAAAATCAGTGGCGAACCGTAGAGTAAATTGCAGGATATGCTAGGTATTGGCATCTAAGATGTGTGAGGGGCGCGCACCCCCCCCCCCCCCCCACCAGAAAAAAAAATACACGCCTATCCCCAGTCGCGCCCTCCCCCCGGCCCCAAAAATCATGCTCAAGTAGTAAAAATCACCTCAAATCACCTTATTTTGCAAGTTATCCCCTCACCTAATCACCGATCCCCACCTTCCCAACCCCATCAGCTCCCTTCCATTTCAAGACCTCTACGCCACTGATGTTACGGCCTGCTAGTAGGAAAAGTTCGTAGCCTACTACTATACGGAATCAGATTGCGTTCTATAGTCAAAATAAAACTACTTTTAATACCGGCATAGTTGTGTATATTCTCTTCAAAAGAATTCCTATTTCTGTATTTTAACAAATTTATATTCAAATAATAATAATTCAAAGTTTCTTCTATACCGGTCATATTTATGCAAATTTATTTAAACTTTAATCATTGAGATTACGCCTATAGATAGAGTCCCAGTACCCGATCGGCAGCGGAGGTCCCGATTTGTGAGAAGAAGAGCATGCGCACATACTCTTGGAAGGTTCCAGTGTTAAATCAGCTATTCTGAGGCCACAACACGGTTGTCACAATAGAAAATTTAAGGGTTGTAGGATATGGTCTGACTCACTGATATTTAAAACCAGCCATACGGAAATTCTAAGCAGCTGAGAGTACGATGCGATATCTTCGACTGTGACTTATACTAGATACCAAAGTAGGCCAAACACTGAAAAACTTTGCTATTCCAATAAAATCTAGAAATCCACTCGAAAAATTAATGTTTATATAAAAGATTCTGACTAAGAAAAGCTAAATAAAACGGAAAAAATGTACTATTATATATTCTTTTTTATTTGAATCCATGAATCGATGAAATCACCGGCAAATTACAAATCGGTAAACATTTAAAGTCAATTATATAAAGGGATACTATTATCTTGATAAAAATAATTTACTAATACTATCTGAAAATTAGGAGGTCGTGTCTAACTAATTTACAACCGTTTTAATAAAAAGTCACTATAGACATTGACCAGGGTTTCCAGTTGACGTCATGTATTTCGATTATCGGAAGTTTAGCTAATTGAATTAAGCGTGGATGGTGAATTGGGTACCGGTGTGGATTAGGAACTGTTTTTTGGACCGATCTTAACGAGTAGTAGTAAACGGTAGGAAACTGTGATGGGCCCCGGTTAGCGGGGTGTCGCAAGAGTCAGTTCTTGGCCCAGAACTTTTTCTCATTTTTATTAATGATACAGTATTGACATTTCCATCGACTCATCCATTTTGAAATTTTCCGAAGACATAAAACTATTTAGACCAGTCAGCGGTTGATTACAAAGCAATATTGATGTATTATCCAAGTGGTGTAATGAAAGTTACTGCCAATAATAATGTCAATAAATCTAAAGTCATGTATTTTGGGTATACAATAATACGAAACATACATTATTATTATGCATTAACGGTGTTGTTCTTGATGAGGTTGATTCCATAAAAAAAAAACTTGAGTAAACAGTGTGTGTCGGTTGTCAGCTATCTAGATTGCAAATTTATGAAGTCTTAGGAACTATTAAAACTGAATGTCAGTAAATAACATCAGATCTCTTTATATTGGGTTAGTCGAACACACCTTGATTTCTGATCAGACTTGGTCGCCTCAATTAAAGACATAATTTTATTAGAGAAAGTCGAGCGGCGGGCAACGAAATTTCCACCTACTGTAGCTTATAACATGTCGTACAAGGAGGTGTGTTCAGGCTGACTACTATAATATAGGCCTATATATCCTTCATCCCCCATCAGTATATTCACAAAATAGTTTAAAACATCCCAGGAATACAAAGACAGCATTTTATTACACATTAATACCCTTACCTAGAAACAAATGTATCCTCCTCGGGCAGCATTCCGGTTATTTTCGAGTCAGGTTTCAGGTCCAGAATAAGGATCATTCATGGAAGTCACTACTTAGTCTAGGTTGTATTAGGCCTAAGGGCCTATATATAGTTAACAAAATATAGCAAAATAATATTTGTTGTCGATTTTGGTTATTTTTTCCTTCTAAATTAGGCCTCTACAACTTTTTTTTTTACAAGGGTGGGGGGGGGGGGGTGGAGGGAGGGATGTAACCTTGGATCCCCTTAGCTACGACCCTGGCAATGACAGGAATGGTATGTTAATTTAAAATCCCAACAGTGTTGTAGGAGGAAGCAACATTTTAAAACAATACTCGAAAATTGAGAAGATATTTAATTGATAAGCGTAATACTGTATTAATTCAATAATTGGGAAGTAAAATGTAAGGTTTTACAGGTTTGTACGGTATATCCAATGGTGGGTTGGTGCCATCGGGTGCGTACGTACCCCACCAAATTTGAAAAGGTCTACATTTTCATGTGAGTCGAAAATGTACTAAATAAAAAATTAGTGATTTTCTGTGATTTACAAACAAATCTTAAATTTTTACATTTTAAGCAGTGATCTATTCTGCTGTGATTCGGGAAAACGCATTTTATCCATTTTTGATATTTTTGGTTTTGGGCACCCTGTAGATGTAATCTATCATGTAAATTAATCATATACCCAAGACAATGTTTAGAAATATGAAATTATAAGAGTTACGCATTATATCCTCCCCACAAGCAATACAAATTGGAAGAGAGCAATATATCCACCAAGCATAGAAAAGTTGGCAATCGTTGGTGAGTGCATAAAACGTAATTTCTTGTAATTTGGATATGACTTGACGTGTATAGGCCTAATGATATTGATATACAAGCAAAATGCTCCGTAACTATCTATGCTGAACATTTAAAGAGTGGACTTTATATTGCGATCATATTAGATTATTATTTCTTGGATATTCAATAAAGATTACCTATGCCAAACATTTTAAGAGTAGACTTATTTATGATGTAAGGAAATATAAATTTATACGGATAGAAGCTGGGTGACAAAGTGTTCTATGTTAGGAGTCTGTAAGTACGGTACAAGACAAGCATTATTCATGGCAAATTTCAACATTTTAAATAAATCATTTATATCGTATAAATTCATCTAGCCCAGATGCTTTCGATGTTTTAATATTCTTCAAATACGGTACTTACGAACAGTAGATTCATCACTTAGGAATTCCGACATTACTGTACTATAATATTATTTCCCAGTTCATTTATTAACTTATCTGTTTCAACGTGATTAACAAAGCTATTCAATTCATTTGCACACTGACATGATACATCTGGAAAAGGGGTTAAATTGTTTCTTGCCGTTCGCAAAAAATCCGCTCATCATTCTCATTTTGTTTCATACTTTTTTTTATTATTTTCAGTAAAGCTACTTTCTATATTTCTGTTATTAGCATTTTCCCCAACCGGATAGCTCTTTTTAATTCTTTATTAATACTATTATTTTCCCTTTCCCCGTTACCAAAAACCACTTTTTTCCCTTTTCATTATATCCCTTGTACTTTCGATAATCCATGGCTTATTATTGGCATATAATTGGATAGATTTAGTTGGCATAACAATATTAGTACAAAAATGTATGTAGCCACAGACGGATTCAGTAAGTTCATTAATGTCGTTTGAATTGTCAAAGAAAACCACCAGCTGTACATTCAAATGCGCCGATAAGCTGTTTTTCAGTTTCATGTGTCCATCTACATACAGTTCGTTTCTTTGGTTTTTGTTGTTGACAGATTGGCCTGTATTTAAGTGCAAGTGAAACAAGGTTATGGTCACATTTGCCAAGGTTAGGCAATGGTGAAGATTTATCGGCATGTTTAACTTTAGAGTAGCAAACGCCAGAATCGCAGTGTCACGTGTCGCACATCATGTCGATAGCAGTATATCCCCGTATTTTTTAGTAAGCATCCTATATTAAAATCGCCATTAATAATGATAAACATCGGGATAGGCCTAATTCGTTTCAATGTCGTGGACGGCATGACCCAGGTTCGGAGATTGCTTCTTTCTCAGGCCTATATATGGTTATGGTTACACTGTGAGTAGTAGGCCTACAACGAGCAAGAATTCTCTAGGTATAATAGAAAGAACGCACACTCACAGTTAATATTTCATTATTTGGAGAACATGTAAAATTCTTTTTTCCCAACGTTATTTGGTGACAATAACCCTCATTTATATGGACAAATACTCCTCCCCTACGTCTTTTTCAGTCCAGATCAGGGGGCGGATTTTGGGGGGAGGGGGCGGCCCGGCCCCGCCCCCTCCTTTTGAGAAAAAAAAAAGAATACTAAAAGAAAAAAGGAAGAAAAAAAACGATAGCCCAGAACGCCTCAAATGTTATTCGGGCGTCTAGAACACAAAACTTTTGCGGGGGCTGTGTTGTCTCGATCGGCCCAACTTTCGCCCCTGCAGATATTTTTAGCAGTGACTGAATATTGTTTGATTGATTCATTCATGATTGATTATTGAGCGTTTCATTTTGCTGTTATTTATAATTTATTACAGTATTAGTATTAAGATTATAGTGGTCCGACAATGGGTGAAAAGTTGGATTGGCAACACTTTTCCAGTACACAATACAGTAACTACAGTATTTACGAGATAATTAATGATTATCTTGAAGGAGGAATAGCAATAGAGCTGGAATTTTACAGAGATATATGGGCCTATGATCGAACATTATATATATATATATATATATATATATATATACAGTATATCCTCTAACCAGGTCCATGCTCTAACCTCTATATTATTGTGTATAACACTTGTATAAAACTACACAAATAAACGATACAAAGAATATCGAGCGTGAGTAAATTTAATTAAGTCCTCTTGTATCAGTTTAAACACTTCATTTGAAGAGGATTCTAATTTTATTTTGTTCAAAATTATTCACGCCACAGTACAACTAGATTCTTTGACAAATAATGTATTAAAATTTACCTTAAAGCTGATAAAAGTGTATTGAAAAAAACCTACATTATAACTTACATTAATTACAAACCGAGCATTTTAAAACGTAGGCCTACACCGTGTATTTATAGGAGGACTATCGTACTATCGTATTGTACATTATTTATAAAACGATATCTCGATGCTTAGAAATGAGCGCAGAAGGCGAATTGCAATGGACCTTAAGCAAACTTAAGAAATGAACAATCAGAATAGGGGCAGGAATAAGCGCGTGTCTCACAAACACGTGTTTGCGTATGTTTTTACACTGTCATTTTGTGGGCCCTTAGCAACATCAAATGGGTGGGGGCCTTAGCAACATCAAAGGGGCGGGCTTAGCGGAAGGGTTCATTATGTGTTCTGGCGTACCTACCAGGGGAGGATTTAGAAGGAGCCCCCATTTAGGAAAGTTTAAAAAAAAGGAAGGAAAAAGAAATAATTGTTCGCCCAAAACACCTCATATGTTATTTTCGGGCGTCTAGAAAACAAAATTTAGAGGGGAAAAGCCCCCGGACCCCCTACAGTAGTGTTGTCTCGATCAGTCCATCCCCCGCACTTTCGCCCCCCCCCCTCTGTCGGGCGTTTGTCGGGCGCCTTTCCGTCCCTGCCTATACAGTAGCATTTGCATTTGTTTTAGTGCATCTAAAACGTTTTGTTAAAATGTATTCATCAATGAATGGTAACACTCAAATCTAACATAATTATTTATATAGATGTCAATGTAAAATGTGTTAAACTTTTAACAATATACAGCATCTATTACTGATCAATTGGGTTTTAATTTGATGAAGGATCAAAATATCTGTACGTCTCTTGTGGATTAAATGCTTGGACTAAAAGTGAGAAATCCAAAAGATTGATTAGGAGGACACTTACTTCGTTTACAAATTCTAAACTTTACAAATTGTGTTACATTTGTACTAATATTTCATAGTCTAGTCTTTATTATAGGCCTAAATTTATTGTTTTAAATATTGTACAGTATCCACGTAATGGTAGAAAATTACAAATTAGGCTCAAAAGTTTATTGGTATATCACAATACTGGCAGTGGCGGATCTAGGATTTAGCAATGGGGTGAACGATTTGCGAAACATTCTTTTTTCGAGGTCACCGAAGGGGGGTGGCTAGCCACCCTATTCACCCCCACCCTCCAGATCCGCCACTGACTGGGTATTAACGTTCCACACAAGTACAGCAAGTTGAAAAAAAATATTCAGCTTTACAGTAACTTTAAATGTCTACCAATTTGAATTCTTAAAGCATTGTTACACTTAAAAAACCTAAGAGAACTGCTGCAAAATTTACAACAACCTTGATAGCGCTAGATTTAGTTGTCATATCATTGGCCATGGGCATCGTCGGTTCTGGTTGTGCGTTGCCTTGGCCGTTGCTGGGGTTGTTGCCGGTGTTTCCGCCTCCCGTTCCGCTTTCAACATAGTTGCTGTTGCAGAGATCAGTGTTGCAGCACTGGGTACATACAGTCATACCCTGCACATCCTGAATATCAATACAAGCTGCATAACAACCCACTTCACAACTCCTGGAATACATTGTCATTAACTGGCCTTGAGAACCCCCTGGCATGGGCATGCTAGTTTTCGCCGTCTGTAAAGACAGGTAACAGAGAAATACAGAGTTAACAATCAACATTATCAAGGAATACCATAGAATACAAAGCCAAACAAGATTACAAGATGAAATAGGCCTACAAGCACTTAAAAAAAGTTTAAAAAGTCATTAAAACTTGACAGGATTTCTGAAAAGTAAAAACAAGTTTACTGTCACAAATAAAAGCTCTTTGTGTTAAATCTGACAAGTACCGTAGGTGCTCAAATAAGCGCCTATAAAATTGTGGGAGGCTTAAGTGCGGCGCTACATTCGAGAGCGACGCTTATAAAAAATATTGGCGTGGCGCTTTCCATGCCCGTTCCTATGTTACCTACGGTATACCACGTGTTCCCGTAGTTCAGTAGGCCTATGATAGGTCCTACGTCACCGTAAATAAATGAAATGTTTATAAAGAAATGTTTTTGTCTTCATTGTATTAACACTGTATACATTGTATTTAAAAGCTTGTTTCACGGTGTTTTATTACACATTACACATATTCGAGAGCTGCGCTCAGAGCGAAGAAAATCTGATTTGGAGCGGCTCTATTCGAGCATTTACGGTAAGCAAAATTAAAATTTTGTTTAATAAAATGAAGTAAAATGAACGCCAAAATTCATCATAAATGCGTTGTTAAAATGTGTATATATACATATATATATATATTGTATATATTAATAATATATATATATATACACATACATACAT